TGGTCACTATGACACACACGGCCCGCCAGGGGGCAGATGCTCAATGCAGGAGCTGCCCCCTGGTGGTCAGTGTGCTCCCACAGGGGAAGTGGGGCGGGGGGAGGGTGGGAAGAGATTAACCAAAGATCTTATATGCATACTAGAAGCTCAGTGCACAGATTCATGCACTAGTGTGGCCCCTTGGCCTGGCCTGCTGGGATCAGGCTGAAACCGGCAGTCCGACATCCCCTGAAGGGTCCCGGACTGCAAGAAGGCGCCAGGCCGAGGACCCCATTGATGCACGAATCCGTGCACTGGGCCTCTAGTAACCCTATAAAACAGACTAAGGTGCCTCACAAGCAGCCCCAGAGTGTCTTCATCAGCTCAAAGTCTATCACATTGTATCAACTTCTGTACATTGGAATTATACTTGCTGCCTGATCTTTAGAATGATGAGTTCCCCACACATAGTTCATGCTTGATTTTGTAGGGCATAAATATTATAATATTTTAAGAGTTGCTATCATTTGAGTACTTGCCCTATGTCAAGGAAGGTTCTAATTACCTCACACATATTAACTCATTTCATTCTCAATCATTTTATGAAACAAATATGTTCCCCATTTTACAGATGAAGAAACTGAAGCAAAGAGAGAGAGTTGCCCAAGGTAAATAGCTAAAAGTGGCCAAACTGAGTTTTACATGGAGACTGCCTGACTGTAGAGCCTTTGTTCTTCACAAGGTCTCACAGTGCTTTGGTGGCTTGGTTACCCAGAGCTCCAGGAAAAGTTCAAGATCTAAAACGGTGATTATCCCCTTTAATCTCTGGGACTCTACGGTCTGTGCGTTCTCTCATGAAGAACCTATTAAACCAGGGGTGGGGAACCTTTTATCTGCCAAGGGCCATTTGCATATTTATAACATCATTTGCAGGCCATACAAAATTATCAACTTAAAAATTATCCTGCTATATTTGGTCCAACATTTAATTAACTTACCCCTAATGCCTTGGCAGGGCCAGACCAAATGATTTTGAGGGCCTTATAAGCCCCCGGGCCAGACATTCCCCAACCCTGTATTGAAGGGTGAATATGAACTTTATTTTGCAGTTGAAGAGGAAACTTTATAAACATATTGCTCTTTCCTTTTGTGCAGCACAGAAAAGGCATACAGGTATACAGGTAGTGAAGATGGCATAGAGAGGGTCGTATGTGACAACTGCTCATTTCCCATCCTCATTTCTCAACTGGGTACAAAAAGATCCTTTGGAATCCCTAAGTATGTAAATAGTTAATTTCTTTTCTTTCTTTCTCTTTCTCTTCCTCTCTCTCCACCGCCCCCTCTTTCTTTCTTCCTTTCTTTTTGAAAACAAAACAAAACAAAACAATTGCATTACAAACAAAACAAAGCAAAACAATTGCATTATTTCAAGCAAATAAGTAATGCCACATCCAATCTAGCCTCCTCGCCTTCACCCACATTGCCTGCACTCTCATTCTTTGTTTCTGACCTGGGTTTAATATTCCTGTTCCTTCCTAGCCCACCTCGTTACACACTTTTCCAGGGCCACTCCATTCCCTACAGGTTCCGGTTCATACCTCTTCTGACCTTCTACCAGAATATACAAACTACAAAGTCTCCACCTCTGCCATTACCACTTCATGTGTTTCTTTTTTTTTTCTTTTCTCCATCAAACCAGTTGTAAACACCTTAAAAACATAGATTGTTTTTTCTCTTTTTTTTTTTGTACATAGGGCTGGCCACTACCTGGTTTTTTTTTTTTTTTTTTTTTTTTTTTGTATATAGGGCTGGCCACTACATGGAGCTAGCTACATAAGCTCCACAATCATAGCTATGTTTCCAGCCCACAGGTTGCATCTTTCTGCAAGAGACATACTTTTTTGAGAATCTGAGGGGAAAGATTATTCTACATTAAAATTTATTTATTAATTTTGGAGACAGAGAAATAAGCGATTTGTTGTTTCTAAGAGACATACTTTTTTGAGAATCTGAGGGGAAAAATTATTCTACATTAAAAATTATTAATTTTATATGTAGAGAGAAATAATCGATTTGCTGTTTCACTTATTTTTGCATTCATTGGTTGATTGTTGTATGTGTGCTGGCTGGGAATCGAACCCACAGCCTTCGTGTATAGGGATGACGCTCTAACCAACTGAGAAACCTGGCCAGAGCCCTATTTCCACATTTTTTAAAGTTTACCAAAATTAAATTAAACCTCATTCAAAGATGACATTACCCCCTTGAGAGGCATGGGCTTCAAATTAATATCTCCTGCCTTAGGCTATATTCAATTAAGAAGCCTAAACTTATAAGCTTGCAAATTAAAATAAAAACAAATGATTTTTTCAGTATCACCACACTAAGATGATTTGGGGTGAGAGGGAAATTTTAGAAGTGTAATCTGGTCTGATTAAGATGATATTTACCGAGTACAAGCAAACATTCTTTCACTATTCTACATCATACAGTTGTATATCTCAGGGTCCAACCTGAGAGAATGATGAGTATTTATAATAAAATATATGCATTACTACTTTCCCTTCCTGAGAAACATATATACCGTCCTATTTTAGGTATTCGGTTCATCACAATGATTGCTTATATCTGGACATTGTTTTATGCCGTAGACTCTAACCTTTTCCAAGTTATATTTGGAGGGCACTGTTGAAAAATGAAAAAGGAAACCACAAGACCCTGAAATTGCCAGCATGATATGTGGGTCCCACAGCTTATAAAATATATGCTGTGACATGTTTAAACAGGTCTCTGTGACACAGCTTTCATTTAGACCCTTCTGCTCAGTGTCCTGCCATCAGCCTTAGCCAAATATGGTTTATTGTAGACATTCTGGCCCCTCAGAGGGACATGGAAAAATCTTGCTTTAAGACAAGTAACTCAGCCATAAGGAAAATACATCCCTGGGAAATGCTGCTATAAATAAGGATGTTCTTTCGGTCATGTCCTTTGAATCTTGCTCTACTTATCTCACATCTTCTATTTTATCTTGTAGGAACAGAAATAAAGTAATGGTAGTTAACATATAGCTTTGACACAAAATAACCCCTACATGTGAACACTGGTTCCTCACATATTAGCTATGTAAGCCTTGAGTCATCCATCCATCGTCCATCCATCCCTCCATCCATCCAACCATATAAAGATCTGCTAAATTCTCTATTCTGTAGCATTCTTATCATCAGGCTGCTAATGATAAAATGCTGATGTAAAGAGATTGCTGTTTGGAAAATCTCAACAGACTGGGAGAAATATACCACAGAACAAACACTGCAATATATTGCAAAATGTAAAAAAATATGAGGAAGTGAAATGTATTGTGATGTGACTTTGCTAAGCTTTAGTTTTCTTATCTTTGAAATGGGGATGTTACCTCACAGAGTTGTTTTGAAGATTAAATGAGGTAACACTTGAATCACATTTTCTATGTAACGCACATTATGTTAACAGTTCATTAAATGGGAGCAATTGCTATTGCAGTTGTAGCAGTCAAAACAACCTTAAAAGAACTCTCAGCAGTTGTAATATATTTTAATCCTTCCTTTCAGTTTTCACTGCTCTGTATTATTTTAGGCCATTATTATCTCATATTGTTGCTAGCCTTCGCAAATCCATTCATTCTCTTCTTTCCCCATAGGGCCTTGCCTGTTTCTACCAGGCTAATCTTCTGCAAATATTTTTATCTTATCACCTTCCTTTTCATACATTTGCAACGGCCCTTCTTTTGCCTATAATCCTAAGGCCGAACTCCTCTTTCTGATGTTCAAGGCCTAATATTTTGGGCCCCACCTCACCTACTCAAACCTCCATTTACATTTTTTTCTACTCTATCTGGCCCAACTCTTCACCTTTGCTTTTGCAATTTTTGCCTAGAACATTCTATCAGCATAGCCCTTTTACCTTCAAAGTCTCATATATTCTTTAAGACCCAGTTGAAATATCACAACCTACCTAAACCCTGGCCAGACTAATCCCGCTTGATAGTTAACCCGTTGTACGCCATAAGCGTCTACAGAGGCAAGTGGACCTTCCCCACACACCATGTGAGTCTATAGCCGCAAACCCCGGCTATCAACTCTGGCCGCCCAATTTTAAAATCAGACTTGTTAGTGACATCTCTGGGTTTGTAAAGAAAATTATGGTAACTAAATTCATACATATCCCAGCACATATGGAAGAAATGGGGATGGTTTCCGTTTGGGACACGTGGCAGTTAACTGGTTAAGAATCTACTGAGCTCTAGGCACTAAAGCTAATACTGCTATAGTTAAGCATCATAGACCCTGTTTTACAAGACAGGAAACACAGCATGAAATCCATTCTACAAAATGTGATCCTATCCCTGACTCCTAAATCCAGTTTTATAGCTGTGCAAGACTATGCTGATAATGATCTCTTTTTGCAGTGAATATATAGATTTCTGTCTCTAGTATAAGCTATAACACATTCCTTACTGTTCCATGCCTAAAATCAGCAGTTAATAAATATTTAATAATTTGATATTTATTTTATAAACTTACTGTGTTACATTGATTTTTATAAAGATGCTCCTTATATAAATAATTTGCTTATATTGACATGTAAATAATAAATCGTATTTTAATTGATTTAATTATATAACAAAACTTTTACATTAAATGAAACTATTAGGTATAAAAGTATTCATTTTTTAAATGCCAGGACTAGCGTTTCTTGGATTTTTATTCTAGGGCTAACATTTTTCAAGGTTATAATTTTTAAATTAAGCCGAACACAATTTGGTACATGAAAGTCAAATTTGCTACCATTTTCACTGCACAGGGTTTAAAATGTTCCTTTTTAGAGGGAAGGGGCCAAAGCTCAATGTGTGAACATCACTCAAATGATGATGAAATAGCAAGTGCCTTGTAAACATAGTTACAGAAGGATGACACTCGCAGGCTGTGCATTTCCATGCTGAACTCATTCAGATTTGGAGAAAATAGCTACCTGATCAGTTTCACTTTTACACCTGTCATCGCACTTACTTTAATGGACATTTACTTTTATCCCCAGCAATTATTTGTCACGTCACGCTTTAGTATTAAAAGCGGTTTGCAGTATTAGTCAGTGTAGCCTAAAAGAGCCACTGAAGGGAAAAGAAAACAGTTCCCACCCACATCTGTGCTTTGCTTTGTAACCTCCGTTTGTTCTTGCCCCTCCTCCTTTCTTTATAATGCCATTGAAAGGCAGTATACAGCCCATTGTTAATTCCCTTCTACTCATCAATTAAATCCTTAAACCCTCTTGGCTCATTATCTGAAGAGTCAGTTCCAGTATGTTAGGTTTACTCTACGTAATTTAGCAGATTTCTACCTTTGGCTAAGCAATGAATGTTAGGAGTTACTATACATTTTTTTTTATCACCAAAATTGTGAAAACAGGAATAATTACTTAAAAAGAAATGTTAGTAGCTCACTCTAAAAGAGAATGAGATGACAAGCGTGCTGGATGTTAAGCAAACAGTGGCCAACCATGAGCATTTTATATCATAAACAATTTAACTTGCGTGTCAAGTATCCAGCCAACATGATCGGCACCATGGCCTGATGTGAAGCTTTGCTGGAGGCGAATGAGTGCCCTTGATCTACACTTGCACAGATTCTCTGCTCTCCTCTGAGTAGGAGTAGTCGTCAATAAATCCAAAGCAAATAAATGACAAATATTTCTGAAGCTTCAGGTATGATCATCAGCTCACCCTCACTGCACTTGAGGAAGAAAGTAAATTCCACCAACAATGCCAAGAAGACCTCAGATCGCCTGATGGGCACTCCAGGCTCAAGCTTGTTTTACTGGTGAAACTAAACCTGAAAGCCAGTAAGTAGCAAAGCAAAATGTCCGGGCCCTAGAGCTAAAGCATCAAGATTTTTTTTTCTTTTGTTACTTGCAACTTGCAAACAGCTCTGCCGTGTCCCTCAAGTGGCATTTGTACCTCCAGACCAGTGGTTCTCAACCTTCTGGCCCTTTAAATACAGTTCCTCATGTTGTGACCTAACCATAAAATTATTTTCGTTGCTTCTTCATAACTGTAATGTTGCTACTGTTATGAATCGCAATGTAAATATCTGATATGCAGGATGGTCTTAGGCGACCCCTGTGAAAGGGTCGTTCGACCGCCAAAGGGGTCGCGACCCACAGGTTGAGAACCGCTGCCCTAGAGAGAAAGAGTAGGCAGCTGTCAAGGGCTCCACTGTGCCCTCACCTAGAGCTTTCTTACTTTTATCACCTCCCGAGTGTTGACAGAGCCGCTCAAGCCACGAGGCAGACATTTGAGGTAAGGGAGCTCTGTGCACATCTCTGGCAGTCTCTGATAGAAACTATGCTTCTTTGTTGAATGGGAAGAATAATTTTTTTTTTTCTGATTTCTGGGAATGGTTCACAGGACACAGACTATGTCACCAGGAGTCATCGTAATGCCTGTGCCTGAGTTTGGTCTTATAACATTTCTTAGAGGGGCCAAGTGATTATCACAGCAGTTTCCAACCGTCAATTTTCTTACCTGTCAATGTCCATGCGCCTTATTAAATGCGAACACTTGAGGGGAGATACAAGGTGTTTAATACCTTAGATCAGGTTCTTAAAGTGTACTCCCCCACCCTGACCCCAACCAGCGACCTTGGCATCACCTGAGAAATGGTCAGAAATACCAATTCTCAGGACAGCAATCTCCCCATTTTACCCAAGGAACAGAAAAGGTAAATGTAAAAGTGGGACTTCTTACTACGGAAGATGATTTAAACTAGGTCCTGAGGACTGCACTGCGCTGTGGCACAGAGGCAGCGACCAGCACGTAATGTTCGGGGGATGGTACTGAACATGATGAAGTTGAAACTCTTAGGTTAAGGGGGGTGCGGTGAGGGGGCGGGGGGCCTGGGATGGAGGCCAGGAACAAGCGTTTGTTTTCCCTCCCTACCCCAGCTCGGAGACAGGAAAAAGCCCTTGAAGAACTTATGCATGGATAACTCCAGCATATAGAGAGAAAGTGAACTCTGAAAGCAGTTGACATGTGTCTCCATTCTATTCTGCTCCTACTTCTTAAGCTGTTGACCCCTCTGACTAAACTCTGCACTCTTGCCCCTAAAGGCATGGGTCTTAACTTGTACTGCTAATACTGCAACCTGAATCCAGGGCCCTCCCTAAACCCAGAGGAGCCCCTCAGGTCTGTCGCTATCTTGGAATAGGCCTGCAAGATTGAATACCATGAAATTAGTGATCTCATTGATTGGGAAGAAGGAAATGACAGAATGAAGACTCCACAGGAACATGAGACTGCTACAGTGGTTGAACGGAACATGTCATGAATGCTATTATCCTGGGGTTTTGCTGACTACATCTCCCGGTGGTCTTTTCATGGAGCAACAAAACATTTTTTAGCGTTTTCTAGCTCACATGACAGAGATTTAAATCTTGACCACATCTGGACAATGCAAGACCAGAAAATCATTTCTTTCTTTTTTCTTCTTTTTCTTTATTTTGATGTGTTTTTTTACAATATACAAAATAAACCTCAGAAAATCATTTCAAATTAGACTGTGAACACAAACACTTTTTAAGGTACGTGTTCAGCTAAAAAAAAAAATCTGAAGGCTTTTACTCTCTGCACTCCCCAGGCTATTTAATTTCCCCTGTGTAATTATTTGTAATAATTACAAGGTAAGGCAGTAGCCTTGGCAGTCACAAGTTCTGGGATCAAAGGACAGCCTGTGAATGCTGATTTCATCATTTATGAACAATGTCCCCTTGAGTAATTTATTCAACCTTTATATTCTGCTATTACATCATCATTTGTAAGCGTGACAAAAAAGAGTACCTTCCCAGAGACAGCCCCAGAAACCATATTTTCATGACATGTCTACTTGAACTTGAAATGGTGCTTGTGGCTCATGAAAACATGCAAAAAATTTGGATACAATGAAACTAGTTTTAGGAAACTCACCTGATCTCCTTCTTCTACCTCGCAGAGTTTCTCCTCCGTTGCAGGATTAAAGACAGGAAATTTCTTGCCACTCACTGAATTATGCCATTCATTGTTTATGAAGATCTGTAGAGAGGAAAAGAAAATAGACAAACAGGCATTTAAATATGCAGCAAATTTGATTTTTTAAAATTACATTTTTTACTCATTTCAGAGAAGGGAGAGGGAGAGAGAGAAATATCAATGATGACAGAGAATCACTGATCAGCTGCCTCCTGGATGGGCCCCACTGAGAGGATCGAACCCACAACCAGGCATGGGCCCTGACCAGAACCCAACCATGACCTCCTGGTCCATAGGTCGATGTTCAACCACTGAGCCACACCAGCTGGGCTTAACCTCCGTATTCTTGAATAAATAATTTAAAACTGAATTAAAGAACCTAGAAGCCAATAACTACACATTACTGAGACCTATAATATTCTGTACATGGGTGCACTATGATATTTGTGCACCCATGTAAAATAAATAAACAAGGGGGAGGAGAAGCCTTATTTGCCTGTTGACATCAATATAATTATTCATATGACAAAACAGCATCAATCTATGTATTTGGAGGCATTCAGAAGACTGTAGTGCTAGCCCTGGAATTGACAAGAAAATGATGTAAGCACGAATACATAAAGGGGATGGGGATAAAAAGCAGTTCAGATGAACAGACTAGATGTGCAAAGACACCTATCTGGAGGTACAGGAAAGATAGATGTATCGAGAAAATTCTTGTTTCTCTGCTAGGGATATGGAATACACGTGAGGACCATGAAATTCCTATTGTCCTTCATGAAGAATAAAAGACACTGGCATCTTATTTCAACTTGAAGCAAAATAAATTGAGATTAAAATACTGACTTGCCCAACGTCTTTTAGAATGAATCAGCTTTCTAGCTATCAGACACACGTTTTATAGAATCCTGTAATTACTCTTAAAGAGTACTTTCTTTTATGCATCTCTAGCCCGTACCTTTGTATTTTTTCCCCAAGGGATGGCTGGGGAAGACCTTAATCAAAGTGTCCCAAATTCAGCTCACAGTCATCTCTAGCTTTATGCTGCTCTTAACTCAAATGTAAGCTCTAAAATGTGCTCAAGTACATTCATATTCTTTCTTTCTCTCCCCCTTCCCCCTCCCCCGTATACTTTACCTCTCCTGTTAATGAGAAACACAATTCGTAATCATCCTTTTGGATGACTTTGTTCTATACTATCATAAAGAAACTTACTTACCTTGTTCTCCCTAGCCCCCACCCCCCACTTCTGCCTCACTGAAATTTAATTTTCACCCAGTTATCATAATCTTCTGAAATCGGCCTAGTTCAGATTTTGCCCCCTCCTCAGAACATTTAGGTGGTTCTTGTTCACAAATTCCTTAGCATGATAATAAGGTGGCTGATGACCTCACTTTTCCAACCCTTTGTCCTATGATTTCCTCAGTTTACCTTTGTTTCAGCCTCACTTTGCTGTCTCAAGTACCATGCCCTTAGGCTCCACACACCTTTTATGCATGCTGTTTCTCAGCTGGAGTTTTACTCCTCTCTTGTACTCATACCTCAACTTGTCCTTAAAATGTCATCAACTCATGAAGATTTTACTAGTTCCACTTGGACTTAACCTCTTTTTTCCCCTCTAACATAGTGTGTTAGTATCCTATTGAATTACTTATTACGTTCTGCTTTGTGTTAAAGTTAGAATCTACATATCAGCTCACCTAATTCCAAACAAAAAAACTAAAGACATCATGGTACTTGCCTAGGTTTTTTAGCCAGTCTGCAAAATTTGCATCAAATTCATGCCTAAATTTTTAATTTTCCCTTCCTTCTACCCTAAAGATCATATGACCTCTTTAGACTTTATAGCTCTTAAACTAAGAGCACAAGTCTCACCCTGTCAGAGACATACCCAGAATTCCATCCTTCCACTGTATAATTTCATGAAAAAACAAATAAAAACGAGATATAGAATTAATTATATTTTGTTGGTCCTGCGGTGTGAATACTTATAAAAATTTTAATATCATCTCTTGTGACCAAATTTAGATTTTTTTTTGCAGCTTGAGCTCTTAAGCTACTTGCAGAGTGTAACTTGGCCTTTTTGGGCTCTGAAACTGCCTGAGTCAGATCCCAACCGCCAACCCCAGGGCTCCCTCCAACACCCCATGCCTCTACTGATTGTACTGTTTGATAAATTGTAGTCCTTGCTTCGTTGTTAAATAATACTCCCTGTACTGTAATTGTGTGATCAAAGAGAGCTCTTTTCTATAGGCCTGGGCCAAAACTACGACTTGATAAATGCTTAATCATATATTACCCTTTGTTCTCGCCTCACAACTTCACTTGCTAGATCACTGAGTCACTGAAAGTCCAGTTGCCCCCACCAATCAAAAAGCACATGATGGAAGTTTATGATCTTTCCCCCCAGCAACCCATCTCTTTGATCATCAGCTCCTTGCAACTTTTGCCTTTATAAACCCTGTCCTATCCCCTCCATTTTGGAACATTTTCTTGGTTCATACGAAGGGCTATGTTTCCCAGTTTGCAAATTGTTACCTGAATAAATTCTCTGTACCTTTCAAGATATCTCCAGCCCTAGCCAGTTTGGCTCCGTAGATAGAGCGCCATCCTGTGGACTGAAGGGTCTTGAGTTTGATTCTGGTTAAGACACATGCCAGGCTTGTGGCCTCAATCCCCAGTAGGGGGCGTGCAGGAGGCAGCCAATCAATGATTCTCTCTCATCACTGATGTTTTTCTCTCTCCCTCCCCCTACCCCTCCCTCTCTGAAATCAATTAAAAAATATCTGTCTATCTATCTATCTATCTATCTATCTATCTATCTATCTCCAGCCTGGCCAGTGTGGTACAGTGGTTGAGAATCATGGTTGGATTCCTGGTCAAGGCACATGCCTGGGTTGTGGCTCTATCCCCAGTAGGGGGCATGCAGGAGACAGCCGATCAATGATTCTCTCTCATAATTGATGTTTCTATCTCTCTCTTCCCCTCCCTTCCTCTCTGAAATCAATAAAAATATAAAAAAATGCACTCTCTCTTTTAAAAAAAGATATTTCCAGATTTTGGTTTTCAGATGAAACTTTGCAGCTCTTACTTGAGTCCCCCTAGGTCTGTGATAATTTGAAGTTTCAAGTTCTCAACAATACATCTCTTGATGTAGTATAGCTTATTTTACAGTTGTGTCTAAGCTATGTCTGAAAAACCCAGTTCAAATGAAAGTCAGTGAATGTTTTATAAATGAGAATTAACCTAGAATAAGAACACAAGTTTATCTCGCAGCCTCAGGCAACTAATGAGACCAAAGATGACCCCAAATTACCAGCAACTGCTCTGCATTATTCAGTTTTAACCTTTTATATAGGAGGACACCGTGAGCTCAACTTTTGTTTGAATTTGTGTTTATATTCACATAATCCAAATGGTCACTTTTTTTTTTCCTCCAGAAAAGTGTTTGTCAAGTACTGAGTAAACACCTGTCTCATTATTTGGAAGGTACGAGGGAAAATGAGAGATTAGTGAGACATTGCCCCTGCTCTCAGGGGGCTCAGGATTTATGAAGAGAGTGCATTTCTATCAAGATCAGCTGGTAAAGAATTGAAGGTTGTGCAATAAAATCACCAAAGCAGTGCTTTTTAGTTAATAAATTGCAGAGCGGAACTCTGGGCAGAGAGGGACGTGGGCTAGAAGAATGCATCCTTGAGGGGTAGGATTGGATTGGTGGGAAAAGAAAAACAATGAGCAGAGCGAGGGGATGTGCTGAGATATTTGTAACAGTGAGGAGATTAGCCTGGGACAGAGAGCTCCAGTGGAAACAAGTTATCCAGTGGAGATAAGCTCTGACAATGAAAATGAGGCCAGTTTGTGGTGGATCTTGCTCTCCAAAGGGAGAATTTGGACTCCATTCTGGCTATAATAAAAAAGTGACAGGATCAAATAAGTGTTTTTAGGAAACCTGACTTTAATGTCCCCAGGTGGATTTAAAGTAGAGCAACCAGAGTCCTGCTATTAGTTGAAATCATTTTAACATCCCAGGCTTGGGGACATGAGGCTTTAGAGTACCGTGACATAGGACTGTCGTCTGAAAATTATGAGTTGTATACATTCTCCCCCAAATAGAGGCCTTTCCGCATAACAACAGAACTCAGCACAAATAATGGCATGATCGGTTGCTATAAAGATCAAGAATTGCATCATTCTTTTCCTTCCTCCGAGCTGTGGAGAACTAATTGGTAGGGTCTACCTTAATGATTTGGGGGGGGGGGGGTAATTTTATTGGCTTTACATTTGACATTTGCTTCCATCTAACTGTGAGACCAAATGTTTTTTTTAATAATCCTCCTTCCTGTGGTTTTATAAAATAGTTACAGTAGTCCCACTTACATGTCGGGGATAATTTCCAAGACCCCCAGAGGAAGCTTAAAACTGTGGAGAGTACCAAGCCCTATATATACACTATGTTCTTTTCTATACATACATACATACCCATGATAAAGTTTTATTTATGTTAACCATAGTAAGAGACCAGCTAATAGAATAATTATACGAACATACTGTAATAAAACATGTGAATGTGGTGTTATTAAGTAGAATAAGGGTTACTGATAACCCAGTGGGGCCCCTAAGTGACTAACAGGTGGGTGAGCATTTACTAATGGGTGGGGAGTGTATGCAGTGTGGAGACGCTGGACAAAGGGATGGTTTGGGATTGGGGTGGGACAGAGAAGGACTCAGAATGGCATGAAATTTAAAACTTGTAAGTTGTTTATTTCTGGAATTTTCCATTGAATATTTTTGGATGTGGTTGACAGAGGGTAACTGAAATTGCAAAAAGCAAAACCATGGATAAAGGAAAAGTACTGTATATGGAAAAATGTAGGTTAACAAATATTTATTATAATGATTATGACACCCATTTAGGCCTGTTGAACTGCACTCTCATTTCCCTCCCTTTGTTCGTTTTCTATTTGTTATTTGCCTTTAGTAAGTTCAGAGGAGATGGAATCAGGCTGTAAAAAGAAAAAGAAAAAAAATTCTTGGGTCCTAGTTAACCATTATATTAACCATGT